TGTGTCTTTTTTACCATCCTTCACCATCCTCCTCTTTACCCCCCCAGCCCCTCTTTCTCTCCTTATTTGGAGAGGTTTTAAAGATGGCTAAATGGACGGGCTGGTGGGGCCACTCACGATTGTGTTTTTCTCCGATAGGCTATGTACCAGCTAGCTTCCGATGAGAAGAGGAGGGACTTTGGCCTGAATGTTTTAGAAACATACTTTAATAATGGGGTAAGACTTCTTTACTTAATCACAGAGCCGGCTGATACGGTAATGAATTGATAAAATAAAAACAAACGGTATGCAGACATTTATCTCTGAATTCCAGTGTGTGATAGTGTGTTTTTTTATTTGGCTAATATGAAATGAAAATAAGATCCTGAATGTTTTATTTGTGATAAAGGAGCCGATAATGAGCCTCGCTCCCATTTGCAGTTTTGACCCGTTCTGGGAGTTCATTGGACTAACTCTCTTGATACGTCATCTGAAACCAGCCGAACTTAAATATTTAGACAAATGCTGATATTCTGGGTCGGTCACAATAATTTAAATGACTTCCAGAATACACGATTAAATCTCATGTAGCACCATGCATAAAAGGGCCTGTTTCCACCCCGAATTTCACCTTTCTTGTGAAAAATGGGGCCAAAAGAGGTCACCCTGTTTCCCTAAAATGATCTTGGTATGACCTGTGTGCTGTGATTGGTCAGTTACCACGACCAGTTCAGCTCCAGGAGGACTCATTTTACCACATTTTACATGATTATTCAAGTAATCTCAGCCTAAAGTTGATGCATCTTTTTATATTCTGTTCACTGTGGGTGTGTCTTTGGCATTTGGAAACAGCCCAGGGACAAATATCTGTATGATTTAAGGACTATAGGAACTTTTGGCTCCATAATACAGCAGTTTTACAGGTTAATGATATTTTTCTGTCTTGTTGTGCCATCATTCAAGTTGTATCAAATCGAAAATCAGTCAGCTGAACCAAAGATTTTTTTTCTTGTTTCTTGTGACGCTGATGAATAAAAAGTTCTAAGATACATAAGTTATTTGTTCTCAAATTTCTTTTAGTTTTCTGGACAAAAGACGTCCAGTAAACCTCCTTTTGTTTAAAGAATTTCCTATTTATTTCCTAGTCATTAAAAAACTGATTGGGAGGGAAACATCCAGGTTGTTTTTTATGTGGATATGACCGTAATTAATGCTCAAAGAACAGATAAATAATGACCCCTGATCAGATGCTTTGCTACTAAAAGCAGGAAGGTTAGTTTACTCTCTGTTCTTTTCCCTTTAACCCCTCCAGTCGGCCGCTCACCTGCCCGACATTCCCCAGGACCTGGTCAGTGGCTGCCGGGAGAGGCTGGAGCAGACTCCGTGTAAGGAGCTCTTCGACGAATGCGCCAAGTATGCTGACACACACACACACACACACACACACACACACACACACACACACACACACACACACACACACACACACACTCATGCAGGTGTTTCTGCTTCCTGCTCCCAGAGCCAGGAGAAGCAAACAGACCCGGGATTATTACCCCAAAAATATGCTCGTCATTGCTGGCATATCGCCGCCCGTCACATTCACTGGTCCCCGTTTCCACACGTTTCTTCTTCTATGGTGGTTTGGCCAACGCTTTGAGCCCGATTGACGAGGTTTGGGATGGATTTAACAATTATTTATTGGTTGGTAATGAATCAGCGAGCTAATGAAAACGCGTTTGGGTGGTTTGACACCATCTTAGCTGTGGACGTTTGGTCTTTTTGTCTCTGACAAATAACACGGAAACCACTCGGTAACAAAGACGAGCTTCCTTCTTACTAGCGTAACAGAAATGTGTTGGTAGTTTTTAGTAGAAACGGCCTCGGTGAGGGGAAGATTTCAGTGACAAAGTCCCCGAACGCCTCACCAGAAATGAGGCCAGATGGGGGGGAACTGAACCAGGAGCAAGTGGGAGCTGGCTGTCTCAGAAAAAAACCCCAAAAAACCAACATCATTTAGTTTTCTTGAGTTTAAATTGCAGTTATTTCATCATTAAATGGCTGCTTCAAACTGCTTCAAAGTTACTCAAACTCTTGGAATAACTCACAAGTTTCTCCCACATCTGGATTGTGTCCAGAGAATCTGATTGGGTCGGGAAAAAGAGTCCAAATTGAAGGAATTTCCAGGAACCGGGTCTCGGATTGGTTGGGTGGACTGGCCCATGTTTCATTGAGTTCTCTCCTATTAATCTTCTGCTGTGTGACAGTAGAAAAACCACTAACGGCTGCCTGATTGTGTGAAAACTGTTTAATGTTAATGATGTTAGTTTGACTGGCGATTTTATTAATTTTTTTTATTTTCTTGCTGTAATCTTTAAGTGTGGCTGGAACTAATTACATGGTTGGTCTGTACTGCCCTGATTGTACCAATAAATTGGTTATCAAAGACGTGAGGAAACGGATAGGAGCCGCCATTATTTCTGACAGGAGCTCATTAGACGCCTCCGTGTGATGGATCACGGCCCGAAACGCTGCTGAGAAGCTGGGTGTTTATTCAGAAAATACCTGGCGGCCTCTGGGACTTTCTGGACCCCAGTCCGGCCCTTTTCTGCTGGCCCGGTTCCACGGTGTTCCTCTTTGGAAAGGACCCTCTGAGTATCAGCCAGAGCTTTTTATTAAGGCCGAACACGCCCGATGCTGTTTTTCTTTATTGAAGACATGTTCCCGTCTGGTTTGAGGATCGTGGAGCTGTGGTCTGGAGACTGACTGTGAATTACGATTTCCATAGTTTGGTTTTGAGAGGAACACCTTTGAAAATCAGCACCTGCTCTCGGCCTTCAGGCTGCTTCCCCTCCCTGGTTTTACACTGCAGAAACCTCTTATACAGTGGGGGAAATAAGTATTTGACCCCTTGCTGATTTTGCAGGTTTGCCCACTTACAAACAGTGCAACGATCTATAACTTTAATCATATATACATTCTAACAGTGAAAGACAGAATCCCAAAGAAAATTCCAGAAAATCACATCATATGAATTTATAAAAATTGATAACCATCTGATGAGGAAAAATAAGCATTCTTTGTAAGTGGGCAAACCTGCAAAATCAGCAAGGGGTCAAATACTTATTTCCCCCACTGTACCTGCACAAAAAACAATAAGCTGTAAAACAACCCAGCATTTTTTTTAAAGCATCTTTTAATTTCTCCATTGTGAGGTCATTAAAGTATTCATCAATCAATCATTCAATCAATCAATGGAATAAGAAGCCCTTTTTTTCTCAGAAGTATCCCATAAAGATGAATGATTTCCAAAACAGCCATATTCAAGAAATATCTTTTAGGCCTGAATGATCGTCTGTTTGTATATCGATAGAATAAACATGACCCATTCCCTCCTCATTTAGGCCCAGACATGACTTCTTTTATTTGTCTGCCCCCTTCCAAAGATGCCGCTTCCAGCCTTAAACGTATGTTAGTTCATCCTGGAATGATTTGATCACTAACTCCGTCATCATTAACGTTCGTAAAACCCCAGTGTCGAAGCCTCG